ACTTTTTATAGTGTTTTTTATAACTAGATGCTATAATAAAGTGACTTTTTATAACATTTTTTTATAGCTATAATAAATGATATAATAAAATATGAAATTATAGCTTATATACATTGTTATAGCGTTTTATTTAAGCCATATTAATATATTTAATAAGCTAAAATATCATGCTATCATTAACTTATAATAACATTTTTTAAATGCTATAATATAGTATTTATAACTTTAAATTTATGCTATAATAAAATTATTTATTCATTTATAATTATTATAGTTATCGGATAACACTTATTTTAATAAAATTTAATTCAAATTCTCATTTTTTTTTAACTAAATAAACACGTGAAATATTCATAACACATTGAATATCATGACTTCCATTTATAATTGAGATTTCATAATCTATTTCCATTGTAAAGTTATTCAAACCATACAAGATAAAATATTCTCCACTACTTGCAATGATTTTCAACGTCTGGGACCGCTATCATGGCTTCATCTTTAGACACACCTAAATTGAATGTACATTATTAGTTGAATAACTAAGTAAAAAATCAATAATACAAAGATAATTAGATAACGATATAAATTCAAGATATATTCACATGATCATTACACATAATTGGCAGACGGTAAATTCAAAAGAGTACAAAGAGTCGTCAAAATGCATCATGATCAATAGTTAAAACGTAATTAAACGTACTACCATATTCTCAAGTACTAAAACAACTAAAATTATTCAGTTTACAGATATTGGAAATTCAGAAAGTTGTGCGGTAAACTCACAAACGAATTTTACAAGTCACATCCACACAAAAATGTGCCTAAGTTGCTAGTACCATGATTTAAGAAGAGATTTCACAAGGAGAATATTTGTAAATAGAGTGTAACGACCCCAAATTTTCTACTTAATTTAAGGTCGCTACTATATATGTAGCATAAACATTGAATGCGGAAGGCTTCATTAAAATTCCATAAAACATAACCTTTATCTTAAAACACAGCCATGGACTTGCGTGTTTCGAAAACATCTTTAAAACGACACTACAAAAGACTAAATAAAATGAATAAGAGTTTAAGTTAAAAACATTCTATTCTCCCCTAAGTCTAAGAAAATAAATACCACTATCCTATGTATGTGTCATGGTCTAGAGTTGCGATGCCCTCGTCCGCCGTACAAGAATGTCTTGCCTTAACCTAAAAAATGTAGTAGCACATGGCTTGAGTATTTAAAGAAATACTCAGTAAGTGACCCCACTATTGGGATTAAATGCAACAATCACATGCAATGAGATGATAGGATCTATCTTTCATTTCGTTTTCCCTACGGTTCTGTCCTAACGGGTAATTTTGGACGTGTACCATATACTCTACACACAACCCATACGTGCGAGTATGGGCTCACCAGCTAGTTCGCACACCGCTGGGCCACCTTTCTTAACCGGTGGGCATACTCTGGGAGCCCCTTAGGCTGGACACCCACTAGAACTGGTAACCGTTACGGCAGCGCTATGTAAAGCATAACGATCTGTAATGACTCAAAATTTTCTACTTAATTTAAGGTCGCTACGGTATACATAATAAAACGAATAAGAGTTTAAGTTAAAAATATTCTATTCTACCTTAAGTCTAAGAAAATAAATATCACTATCCTATGCATGTGTCATGGTCTCGAGTTGCGATGCCGTCATTAGCCGTACAGAAATGTCTTGCCTTAACCTGAAAAATATAGTAGCACAGGGCTTGAGTATTTAAAGAAATACTTAGCAAGTGATCCCACTATTGGGGTTAAATGCAACAATCACATGCAATGAGATGATGAGACCTATCTTTCATTCCGTTTTCCCTACAGTGCTGTCCTAACGGGTAATTTTGGACGTGTACCATATACTCTACACACAGCCCATACGTGCGAGTATAGACTCACCAGCTAGTTCGCACACTGCTGGGCCACTTTCCTTATCTGGTGGGCATATTCTAGGAGCCCCTTAGGTCAGACACCCGCTAGAACTAATAACCGTCACGACAGCGCTATGCAAAGCATAACGATCGTTGTCCTGCCATTAGATGTACGCATTCGTACCCTCGTGATGGGATAGGGGTATCCTCCCAAATGCATGAGCACACATAATGCATGAGGTCCCAAAACTTTTCCATTTTCATTATCCTTTAATACAACCCCGCTAGCATTATGTACATATCATATCATTTTTCATATCGTTTTAGATATCGTTCATCATTCATATCGTTTTAGATATCGTTCATCATTCATATCATATTGTTTCTCATTCTTCAGTTCTCAAATCATACATAATTCTAACGGGGTTATATTTCATGCCATTTATCGTAATTTCATGTCATTCATATCATGTTGTATACACACAATTTAAGAGACCTAACATAATGTTCTATGATTTTAACATAACATTTCATCATATACACATCATACCATGACATATTGCATCACAATGTATCTTATCATAAACAAGTCATAACGTAAACACTTCGTAGTCATATCGTTCTCTAACTTATCATAGCCTTAACGTTCTTATACCTATCACAGACATATCATGACGTAAACGTACCTTACTCATATCATCACAAGAACTTAACCTAACGCTATCGTTCTATCAATCTATCACAAACCTATTCCTTTCTACCAGTAACCTAACCGTATTCTTCCATCAACGTCTCTTATCCATAATCACTCCGGTATGTAATCTAACCTTAACGTTTCATGAACGTATTTTATTCCTATTGTTACATTTCGTTTTGTGCATCATTCTTGTATCCTATCTCAAACATATCCTTGAACACATCGTACCATAATTGTTATCATACAATTCACATATTATAACATATACATAACATATAGAAAACATATCGATCTACAGACAATTCACACATATCAATATATATGACATGTGCAGAACCACAGGGCACATGTCAACATCAAATATAACCATGCTGATAGTAAGGTCACTTACCTGACTAGCTTAAGTCGTTGTCACGAATATATCTTTAATGAAAGTTTGATTTCGTCCTTTGAAAACCGAGTCAACCTATATGAGCCCATGACATTAGTTTCAGGTTTGTTATAAATGATTGACATTTAGTTTCTAACTCAAAGATAGACCATTGTAATAATTCAATGAAGATCTTACTATAATTGGTTGTGATTTCTAAGAAAAATAGGATAAAAGAAAATAAAGATTTAATATATACCTTAATCAAATCTCCCGTGAATCTCTGGGTAAAGGTCATTCTCATATTTTTTTCCTCAACCATTATTGTTGTTTTTTTTTTTTTTTTGTAAGAATGGGTTGAAGAAAGATAATTGTGGGAAGGGATGAGAGATTAGTGGAGAGAGATGGGAAAATATTGTTCATTGCTTTTTTTTTTTATAAATATTTTTATTATTTATTATTATTATTATTATTATTATTACTATTTTATTTTATTTTTCCTGGATGTTACCTAGAGTTTAACATAGCAAACATGGCATAGAAACTTACAACTGCAACGAATGACCACATTTTGATGATAGCTTGTTAAGCCATTTCACCTAAAATGCGAAACAAAAACATAATCGAAGTACAAAATTTTGTATCGATAACTCACTATAAGTTAAATATAAGAGCACATAAGAAATCAAGTTTAAATATATTGCTCAAAGATAAATAAACAACAACAACAACTCGTGTTCGATCTACACAAAGTTGATCCTGCACAATTATTTAAAGTACCCCAAAGTATACCAAGTAATAAGAAAGAAAGCAGGTACATTTTCATTCCCAATTCTTCGCTTCCTTTTGCATGCAACTAGTTGAAACCTTGACTAGACTTTCTTTTTCTTTCTCAACCCTTGCAGCGGATAGGGTGGTACTGTGTAATTCTCGTTTGGGAGGCAGCTTTCTCAGAATGAAGAGGACCAGAGAAGAAGGTAAAATCTCAACCAACTGTAGACATGGAAACACAAGTAAGAACTCGTACCTTTGAAAGAAAATGACATTCCACATTTTTCCGAGCAAAAAGAAGTAGAAAATACTAAGAACAACATATTCCATTCGAAGAATAACTCACATCATCCATCTAGGGGAAGATTATAATTTTAAAGGCCTGATCAGCATAGACATGACAATGAGACTGAACTAAATTCTTCATCATCATAGAACACCAATACTCAAACTGAATGAATTCATCATCATAGAACACTAATACTCAGTTGCAGGAAACTCATCATATTGATTAGAATACCCCAATTGACTAAAAGATTCAGTAAAACAAACAACCACAAGCGAAATATCATAGGTAAAACTGATTTTACAAGGTAGTATATAAAATTTAGAACAGGATGATCTAAAACATCGAGGTCTATAGCTTGATCAAAAGCACTAAAGCATATCTACCGCGCAAGAAAACTAAACCAAGATTAAAATGAATTGAGTATCAACATAAAGCAATTGAAAGACAAAACATGTTGTTCATTTCACAGTATTAAATAATGCACAAGTAATAGCTACAAGGATAAGCCTATATGTAACTTTATTACGTTATTCTCAATTCTTGAGGACGGCGTCAGGCTTTCATTGGTGATTGGTTAAAGACCCAAACGAAAATGAATTTGAAGTACCTTATTGTTGTAAATTGTCATAAGTTTTGATTTGATTTGGTTATTTGGATCAGATTTGATTTAGTTATTTGGATTAAATTTAGTCATATCGGAATTTGATATCGGGATTTGGGAATGTTTTGTGTGTCACATTGTATTTCAGTATTTCTTGAGTGACATATTGGTGAGAGTCTATATAGTGTGATAGTGAGATATTCACTTGGAAGGCTTGGTTTTAGTAGTGATTGATTGCTACCCATGGATGTAGGGGAACTTCTTCTCTCCGAACCATGCAAATATCTTGGTGTCTATTTGTGTAATTCCGTTCATTGGTGTTGTGAGTACATTTGTTCCGCTTTCAGCACACAACAAGTGGTATCAAAGCTAATTAAGATCCGCCAGAAACGTTGCTATTGAAGATCTCAATGGTATCACCGTGGGCCACACCATGCCAATGGAAGGAGCGGTCTTCGTCCATAACGTCGCGGTCATAAATGAAAAAGAAATCCTCTGGTGGCAGATGAAAATGCAGTCTCTGCTGTAGCTTATGCAGCTCTTTCTTCAATTTCCCCACGTTATCCGTTGGGCTCACTTCCATTGATATCTTTGAGTTCTCAAATTTCAGTTGCACCATTACTTTCAACTTATTCTTCGACGACCCACTCGTTGCCACCGTCACAGCCGCCGCCGTCGTCGTTGTCGTTGTCGTCGACGGCTGCAGCGGCGGCGTTGTCATCCCGGCGCAGCGGTCAAAACTGTAGGCGACGACTGCAAACAAACCTCAACCTCAGAATTCTCCGACATCTCGCTGTCACGCAAGGAACGTTGATCCTGTAAGTCGGTAGGGGAGGCGTTGGGTTGGAGCATGATCCCGTTGATGGGGCCCACAGAGTTGATTTTGTGGATCCTCTGTTTGAGGCGCCCGATTGAATGGTTTGGGTCGATTTGGGGTTGCGATTGGGATTGGGAATTGTTTTGGGATTTAGAAGCTACGAGGAGTTGAATGCGAGAATGTTGGAGGATTTCGTAGAATTTGACGTCACGGTCGTCTTAGAGGACATGGCCATTGAAGATTAGGGTTTGTTTGGGGATTGGGATATGGTGGAGTTGTCTATATGGGCAGTGATAGTACTTGCAAGATGATGAGAATCGGCTCACTACAAATCAAGATGTTTGACAGGGTTATACAAAAACTCAATGATGTGAGGTATGTTCCTGACTTGAAGAAAAATTTGATTTTCCTTGGCGCTTTGGATGCGAGTGGTTATCGTATCATTTTGGAAGGAGGGAATTTGAAAGTAGCTCGTGGAGCTTTGGTGGCAATTATAGGAACTAGAAGAGGTAGCATATACTACCTCAACGGAACCACAAAAATTGGGCATGCTGCTGTGGGAAATTCGAAAGAACAAGACATATCGAAATTATGGCACATGAGACTTGGGCATGCTGGTGAGAAGGTGCTTTAGACATTGGTGAACCGAGGAGTCCTTAAGGGTGTCACAACTGTTCACTTGGTGAATCGTTTGCTTGTTTCTAGAAATGGTGGGAAAACTCCGCTTGAGACTCAAAGCTAGATCCTAGAGCAAAAAAAAGCCAAGTTTATGGGCTTTAGCAAAGGCGTGAAGGGAGCAAAAAAGCCAAGTTTATGGGCTAAAACAAAGGTATGAAGGGCTATAGGTTATGGTGTCCAGAAACAAGTGTATTGTGCTCCTACTGAAAAACATATTGATCAGGTAGATAATACTCTGATGTCTTAGAACAGGAGGAGCAAAGCCTTGTAAATGAAAGAGTGGAGGAACCTGAGTCCATCGCCAGGAATAGACCACGAAAAAAAAATTCGAAAACCTGCAAGATTTGATGATACAATAGCATATACTTTCCCTTTGATTGATGGAGTTCCCAACAACTACAAAGATGCTATCCAGAGGCTGGATAGATTGCACTGGCAAGAGGGTATGAATCAGGAGATTGCATCATTGGAGATAAATCAAACTTGGGATTTGGTATAACTTCCAAAAGAAGCTATTTGGATGCATGGTTTGATCAATGACTTGAGTATTTTGCAGGAACATATAGATGTGTTTTGTGATAGCCAAAGTGCTATTTGTTTGTCAAAAAATAAAGTTCATCATGCTCATACTAAACATATTGATGTCCGTTTTCACTTTATTCGAGAAATTATTAGTGAAGGGGACATTCGTTTATTAAAATTGGAACTGTTGATAACCCTGCTTATATGTTGACAAAGGTGATCGCTCGTGAAAGTTCTGGCATTGTTTGGATTTCATCAACGTTGGAAGAAAGGAGTAGTGTGTTGACATGATAGCAACCAACTCAGTTATCAACTTGGAGATCTTATGACAAGGTAGAGATTGTTGTAAATTGTCAAGTTTTGATTTGATTTGGTTATTTGGATCCGATTTGATTTGGTTATTTGGATCAAATTTGATTTGGTTATTTGGATTAGATTTGATTTAGTTATTTGAGTTAGATTTAGTCATACCAGATTTAGTCATCTCGGAATTTGATATCGAGATTTGGGAATGTTTTGTGTGTCACATTGTATTTCTTGAGTGACATATTGGTGAGAGTTTATATAGTGTGACAGTGAGGTATTCACTTGGAAGGCTTGGTTTTATTAGTGATTGGTTGCTACCCGTGGATGTAGGGGAACTTCTTCTCTCCGAACCATGTAAATATCTTGGTGTCTCTTTGTGTAATTTTGTTCATTGGTGTTGTGAGTACATTTGTTCCGCTTTCGGCGCACAACAAAGACTACAATCAATGAATGAAATTACACAAAGAGACACCAAAATATTTACGTGGTTTGGAGAGAAGTTCTCCTACAACCACGGGTAGCAACCAATCACTAATAAACAAAGTGTTACAAGTGAATACCTCACTATCACACTACAAAGACTCTCACCAATATGTCACTTAACAAATACAATGTGACACACAAAACTCCAAATCCTGATATATAATTAAATCTGATAGGTCTAATTCAAATAACCAAATCAAATCTAATTCAAATAACCAAATCAAATCTAATCCAAATAACCAATCAAATCTAATCCAAATAACCAAATCAAATCAAAATCTTATGACAATTTACAACAATCTCCACTTTGTCATAAGATCTCCAAGTTGATAACTGAGTTGGTTACTACCACGTCAACGTACTACTCCTTTCTTTCAACATTGATGAAATCCAAACAATGCCAGAACTCTTCACGAGCGATCACCTTTGTCAACATATCAGCAGTTCCAATTTCTAATAAACGAATGTCCCCTTCACTAATAATTTCTTGAATAAAGTGAAAACGGACATCAATATGTTTAGTATGAGCATGATGGACTTGATTTTTTGACAAACAAATAGCACTCTGGCTATCACAAAACACATCTATATGTTCCAGCAAAATACCCAAGTCATTGATCAAATCATGCATCCAAATAGCTTCTTTAAAAGCTTTCGTTACTGCCATATACTCTGCTTCGGTGGTAGACAGTGCAACAGTAGACTGCAATGTTGAATGCCAACAAATAGGTTCATCAGCCATAGTAAATAAATAACTCGTAGTAGATCGTCGCTTATCCAAATCACCAACATAATCAAAATCCACATAACCAACTACAAGATTGTCAAGATTAAACATTTCTTGTTTTTGAAACTTAATACCAACATCAATCGTACCAAGAATTTACCTAAGAATCCATTTGATAGCCAACATCAATAGTACCAAGAATGTACCTAAGAATCCATTTGACAGCCTGCCAATGCTCTTTACCAGAATTATGCATATAACGACTCACCATGTTTACTGCGTGTAAAAGATCAGATCGAGTACATACTATAGCATACATTAAAGCACCAATAGCATTTGTATAAGGAATATTCTCTATATACCTTTTGTCATCGTCAGAACTTGTACGCATGAAGCACTCAGCTTGAAATGAGAAGCAAGTGGAGTACCAATGGGTTTGGTTGAACTATTCAAACTAAATCTTGTCAATACCTTGCGTAGATATTGAGACTAAGTCAACCAGATTATACCTTTTTTTCGATCTCGCTCTATCTCAATTCCAAGTATTTTCTTTGCATTGCCTAAGTCTTTCATTTCAAATGTTTTAGAAAGCTGATCTTTGAGCTTATCAATCTCCACCTGTCTCTTTGAAGCAATTAACATATCATCAACATATAAGAGCAGATAGATAAACGATCCATCATCAAGACACCGATAATACACACAATGATCAAATTGACTATGAGTATACATATGCTCTACCATGAAATGATCAAACTTTTTATACCATTGGCGAGGAGATTGTTTCAACCCATACAAAGATTTCTTCAATCTGCATACCAAATGTTGCTGTCCAACTACTCGAAAACCAACCGGTTGCGCCATATATATTTCTTCTTCCAAATCCCCATACAAAAAGACGATTTTTACATCGAGTTGTACAAGCTCAAGATCAAATTGAGCAAGTAAAGCCAACAAAATTCGAATGGAAAAATGTTTTACCACAGGTGAGAAAATTTCATTGTAATCAATATCTCTTTTTTGTGCATAGCCTTTAGCCACAAGTTGAGCCTTATAACGTATACCAGAAGAATCTTCTTCTTTTGCAAAAACTCATTTATAACCAATTTCCTTCTTACCGTTTGGAAATTGTACCAAATCCCAAGTTTGATTTATCTACAATGATGCTATCTCCTAATTCATAGCCTTTTGCCAGTGCAATCTATCCGGGCTCTAGATAGCTTCTTTGTAGTTGTTGGGAACTCCATCAATCAAAGGGAAAGCATATGCTATCATATCATCAAACCTTTGCACGTTTTCGAATTTCCCTTCGTGGTCTATTCCTGACGATGGACTCAGGTTCCTCCATTCTTTCATTTACAAGGCTTTGCTCCTCCTGTTTTAAGACATCAGAGTTATTATCTACCTGATCAATAGGTTCTTCAGTAGGAGCAACCATATCAGGAGAGAACACCACCTTCTCCACCTGCTTCAATGCCTCGTCATTATTTTCAATTTCCTGCAAAAACATTCCAGACTCATCGAATGTCACATCTCGACTATTAACAATCTTACTTGTTTCTGGACACCATAACCTATAGCTCTTCACGCCTTTGCTAAAGCCCATAAACTTGGCTTTTGTTGCTCTAGGATCCAACTTTGAGTCTGTCACATGATAATAAGTAGGACACCCAAACACATGCAATTTATCATAATCACTAACAGGAGTACCTGACCATACCTCAAGCGGAGTTTTCCCACCATTTCCAGAAACAGGTAGACGATTCACCAAGTGAACTGCATAACTGAGAGCCTAAGCCCAAAATGCCTTACTCAATCCTGTTTAAGATAAAATGCATCGAACCTTCTCTATTAATGTCTGGTTCATTCTCTCAGCAACTCCATTTTGTTGTTGCTTACCAGGAACAGTAAAGTGTCGAACGATCCCTTCATCTCGACATACTTTAAGAAATGGATCATAAGTATATTCTCCACAGTTGTCTGATCTCAACTTTTTGATTTTCTTGTCCATCTAATTCTCTACCATTTTCTTCCACTCTAGGAAGATTTGGAGAACCTCGTTTTTGTGCCTCGTGGGATACATCCAAACTCTCCTCGAGTAGTTATCAATAAAGGTGACAAACCACCTCTTTCCTCCCAATGAGACATTCTTCGTGGGGCCCCATACATCAGTGTGAACATAATCCAA